TTCAGAGCTACAATGATACCAACAAGGGCACCAGTGAAAGAAGCTCATAATTCTGGTACTTGTGAATGTGAATTTTGAATTAGCATTCTGTATTTCTCGAAATATGCACACGATCTGGAATGGACAAACAAACCAGTTGCCTTTGCGTTCGTAATATGAAATTTCCCTCCCAAACAACCCAACCCAAGAAAAAAGTTACCGAATCACAACTTCCTTTCCGCTAAACATAGGTTAACGTTCATAACCTCTGAGAGACTGGTCTCGACTCCTCAAAAAGACAGGGATGCCCTACATTAAGGCATCGTGGACGGGAATGACTACCTGCAGTACAAACAAGTTTCTTTCCAACGTGGTTGGTCTCTTTTGGCAAAATGTTCAGTTAAATGAACCCTGAATAATGCGGTAAACTTTCGACAGTGAGCTCTGAATGGGGAAACCTAGAATTCCCCTTCATCCTTCATTGAATAGGTGGATCGGAGTCCATGTCGCTAGGCTATTAGACTGCAGAAATCCGTAATGTACATATCAGGTGAAAAGCTAGTTTGTTTTAGTCAAGGGAATCATGTGAGTTTCTTTGCTGGTCAGTCTCACACTTTTCAACTCGTCACTCCTTAATGCAACGGATACGTTCACCTTCTCTTTTCTACAATATCTACGATTAAAGGCATGGCTACCCGAAGTAATCTTTATATGACCACTTGAAAAATCAATGACTTTATTCCTCAGTTTCAGCTTTATCGTACTGAATAGACCAAGGAAATGTGTACTGATTCCTGGCAAGCTTTTGGGCGTGTATCCACAATACACATCAGTGAAGAACACCTTGCACCCGGGAACATTGTTGGCCAATTGGATATAGGAAGCCCATCGAAAACAATGAAGATAACTGTTCCACAAATGATTCATTTATTAAGATTCGTCAAAATTTATGGCAGTAAACGACTCCAGTTTTGAGAAATTACACATGGGGCTGCTTGCGATCGACGAAAAACGCCTTGTTCACGAAGTAGCTCATTACGACCAAACGGGGAAATCCTAGGGGACATAACATACTCTAGACAGTTTTTCATGCCACACACAATATGCACGTCTACTGAGAGGCAGTCAGAAAAGACTGTCGTTACAATCATGGGATTTGGGGTTCAAAAGTCTGTGAGAGCTGGATGGCTAATTCTGGGGACATCCAGAACCTTCGCCACAGATCGGCAAACTACCCATACCAGTGAAATAAGACCTTCTATTCCTTGCGCACGCCAATCAATACGCTTCTTATTTCCCATCGCCTGCCTTTGGCCCTCCAGGTTCATCCCACTTTCTTTTTGTATATTGTGTGTTAACCTATGTTCATCGCAGTTCCCAAAGCCTGAACAGTCAGGCCATGCTGCCAGAGATTACATACTAATCGTGTCTTGATTTTCATCACAATATCTTGACTAATAGAATTGCGAAACTGTCAGTTATCCCAAGTCAGGAATGGTTTTGTGTATCGAAGCAGGAATTTTCTTCAGTCAGAATGTCTCAACCTAAAATTTATAAAAGTCTGAAAGTTTATGATCGAAGGAAACAGACCCAGCGCCGAGAACAAAATCGATCGTTCGTGGTTGATCAGATGGTCGTTGGTGAGTTCCCCGAGCTTGGCGATCGGTTTGCTAACGTTTCGTAATCAAACAAGGAGATATCATCATCGCGCACTGATGGTGTCAACTGGATCGGTAACGAAACGCTTGCTAGCTGGTTGCCAAGCCTGGCGAACAGATCACCGGTTAGCTGATCAACGATCAATGAAACCATCCAA